TCCGCACTGTCATGGTTCGACTCCCGCCGGGGGTGTGGATAAGACTGATGCGAGGTCGAAACTGCTGTCCACTTCTGTCTGGATGAGAGCAAATTTTGGGAAAGCAATTTATGTGAAATTCAATGGAAACGTCAGCTCTACTCATATCATTGTGAGAAAATTCTACACCAGCACTTCATCACCTTAAACGAAATAGGATGAATACATCTCATATAACATGAGCTGAATTTAAGGCCAAACGACGGCATAACAACGGGAATCAGTCGTCGTCTTCTGGTGAAATCGACCCACGAATCTCCTTATCATGCACTCGCATGCGTAATGAAAGCAAAGCAAGGCTGGATTTGGGTGGCAGGACGATGAGTCGAGGTCTTCTTCGCACGATCCAGCAATCTCAAGTACAATATCACCTTTTTCTGTGTCCGAACAGGCCAATGTACGAATCCTGTCCAGCCTACTTCTCGAACGAATGAGTCGGTTTAAGGGCTGTCGACTGGTCATTGGTGCTAAATCTGCACAAAGCGTCTCATCTGCACTGGCTTATCTGGTTCGTACGTGTTTGCCTTCGTGTGCTCCTCTTCTTCTGTCGCACGATCCTGTCCTGCTTCTTGTGTGTCACACTCCAGTCGACCATCATCCTCCTGACTTTCCGTGTGTGATTCGACAACTCCCAGAGATAATTGCACTTATCGGCTCAAACGGCTGCTGGTACAGGCCGCATCGGTCAAGCACATTCCTCTTTTGCGTGACCATCTTTCGACATGAATACAGGAGACCAGCGCACACGATTGCATTTCACCAAGAAGTGTGATAGCCGCCAATCGAGTCGAAAACATGCTCTTACTCTGGGTCACACCAGCAGACGGCATATAATGACTGGCAAGCGTCATCCGGCCTCATTAGGCTCATTTACTCGCCTCGAGGCGTCCTCTCGACTCCTGCGCTCACGGTCGTCTGCCCGACAGTGCCGCGATGCAAGATCATCTCGCCTCTCCTCGGCTCTAGTCGACAGCGGCTGTCGATCCCGACCCTCCGACCGGTCGAATGGGGAACTGCATTCCCTTCCAGTTGGACGGGGCGGCCGATCTCGTCGTCCGGTCGCCTCGTCTTCTCGCCGGCGACCTCAGAGGTCCCGGCAGCCCAGTCGGCGGCCGACTCGAACGGGTCGACACGGAGCCGTCCGTGCTCATCTGCCGGTCAGCGGCGATCGCCATTTCCACGCCGCTCGTCGATCCCGCCGGCTCAGACAGTCATGGGCCACGGACGCCGCGGGTTTTTGTGCGCAAGTTGCTCGAGCCCAAGTCGGACGGCCCGTCTTCGGCCGACGACGAGGCCTGGCCGGCCGGTACCCCGTGCCCCTGGACGAAGGAGGCCTCGCCCGAGGCCCGGGAGCTGGGTTTCGCCCACCTCGGCTCGCCCACATCCACCGTCTACAGCCCCACATTGCCCGGCAACTGCACCAGCCCGGCCCGGCTCGTCATGCCGCCAACTGAGGCCGGACTCGGGCATCCCACTGCCGCCGGCTCTAGTTGCCTAGGCGCCCAAATCAGCGGTCCTGTCGCCGGGCAGGAGGACAGCGGATTCAGCAGTGGCTCCATCCTGGCCTCCTGGCCTCGGACGGCCCATGCGGTACCGGCCGGTCTGACTCCGCACGAGGAGTCGCCGATTCTGGAGCTGACGACTTCGCTCACCGACCTGGTCGCCCCTGGCAACCTCCAGTCGTCAAGGCCAGATGCCACGAGTAAGGTCGACTCCTGCCT